TGTCATAAATCATTAGTTTATATTTCCCTGAGACAATCATGGATGAGTTGCTGAGTTGTTAAGCTTATTGAAGACTTTTTGTTTAAATTACAAACCCTGCTCCTGCAAACACTTCTGCATGTTATTTCAATGGGACTACCCATATGCTCAATGTTAAACATGTGCATAAGTGATTCCAAGATCAGGGCTGTATTTTTCAACTTAAACAAAAGTTTTAAAGTAATGAGGGAAGTGAGTCATTTACCAAATTAATTTTTATATTCCTCTTTTAATTGACAATGCAGAGTAAGGGACACCAAAGTTCATTTGGCTCTGAGTTTATGAATACCTTCCTCAGAATTAGCTTTCATAATATGTGTTGGCCAAGAAACCATCATCCATGATGATGAGCTAACCAACTCCCACTCCTCTTGCACTATACAGAAGTCTCTTAAGTGTGTCTCTTTGGTACATTAGTTCTTCTTCAAGTGCTTGTTTCTATGTGTAGTGCATTTCAGGTGGTGCATGTGCCCAGGACCAGAGAATTGTTCCTAGCAGTGTCCATTTGGCCCACCCATAGGCCACTGCTCTCCCTGTGCTCCACACCAAGGGTTTATAGGGGATCACTGCCATTTCATAGAATACTACAACTGGAAGGGATCTTGCGAAGTCATTGAGTCCAGTTGCCTACCCTCATGGCAGGACCCAGTACTGCCTAGACCATCCCTGATAGACATTTATCTAACCTGCTCTTAAATATCTCCAGAGATGGGGATTCCACAACCTCCCTAGGTAACGTATTCCAGTGTTTAACCACCCTGACAGTTAGGAATTTTTTCCTCATGTTCAGCCTAAACCTCCCTTGCTGCAGTTTGAGCCCATTGCTTCTTGTTCTATCCTCAGAGACCAATGAAAACAATTTTTCTCCCTCTTCCTTGTGACATCCTTTTAGATATCTGAAAATCGCCATCATTTCCCCTCTCTATCTTCTCTTTTCCAAACTAAACTAGCCCAATTCTTTCAGTCTTCCTTCATAGGTCATGTTCTCTAGACCTGTAATCATTCTTGTTGCTCTTCTCTGGACCTTCTCATTTCTCCACATCTTTCTTGAAACGTGGTGCTCAGTCCTTCATTTCAGTTCCTTCTCCTCTCTTGTGGCTTGGAATACTCAGTATCTGTAGTTACTTCTTTGCCCTTTCTCTGTAAATAGTTTAAAAATTTAGTTAGCTGTAGTTACTTTGGTCTAATTTACTGGGGTAGGTTGTTAGGGTTTGGTACCTCATTTTGCCTTCTTTTGGGAGGAGAGCAGTCCCCAGCCCTCCTGCCCTGTGTCTTCCACTGGTAGCAAAAAGAGCATGCCATTAATTCCTGGCTTCAAGAGCTGTGTGAACTGTCAAAACTCTTCATGGTAATGGATTATCACGAGGCCTGTTTGCATTGCTTGGGTATGACTTCCAGGTGCAATACCAGCAGATCATTCTTGAGGAGAAACAAGTAATTAAGAGCATTTCAGCTCAGAAGATTCCTCATGGAGAAGTTCATGAGAGTGGAGCTGGACTCTGACTTGTGAAACCTCTCAGTACAACAGACTAAATAAAGTAAAAGTGTGCCTTCAAGTATTCCTCCAGCTGCTTTCCAACCTACCCACCTCACATTCCTTTACCATCAGCTCTAAGAAACTCAGATAAGCAGAGTCAGGGCAAATGGGGAATGGACATGAGGGAAAGTTGCTTTACATCCTCCAATAAGAGGCAGAGGTTGTTGCTATCTCATATCCAGAAAGAGAGGACCTCACTCTTCAGAGCGGGACTGTCTGGTACTGGGAAGGGCCTACTGGGGATATGTTGGGGAGGTCCACAGTCAAAGCTATTCAATACAGGTGTTATCAGATAGCAAGACAGTGGTCTTTAATATATCAGCAAGCAAGGAGAGACTCATTTCTTTACAGCTCTTCACAGAAACCATTCCCTCCTGGAACTGGTACATACCTTTGCAAATTGCCTTGACCACCATTCATCTGCCAGAGGTTCAGAATACCGAGATGGGCACCCTCATACACTTTTCCAGAGAGAATGAGTGGGAGAGGCAAACTCTACATGAAGATTTTGGGTGTGGGAGTCACCCAATCACAGATTTGCTTGTGTCAGATGTGAACAGAAAGTGAAAGTTCTGCTATGGAGAGCGTTGTATCCAGGCTTTCTTAGAGTGTGTCTAGACTAAATGCCTCCGTCGATGGAGGCATGTAGATTAGACAGATAGGCAAAGGGAAATGAAGCCATGATTTAAATAATCGCGGCTTCATTTAAATTTACATGGCTGCCGTGCTGAGCCGACAAGCAGCTGATCAGCTGTTTGTCGGCTCCGCGTGCTAGTCTGGATGCGCCGCGCCAAACTGAAAGCCTTTTATCGACATCCCCCTTGTGCCTCGTAGGATGAGGTTTACAGGGGATGTCGATAAAAGGCTTTCATTTCAACAGGGGAGCGTCCAGACTAGCGCCCGGAGCCGACAAACAGCTGATGAGCTGTTTGTTGGCTCAGCGCGGTAGCCATGTAAATTTAAATGAAGCCGCAATTATTTTAATCGTGGCTTCATTTCCCTTTTTCGAATACACAAATCTACATGCCTCCGTCGACGGAGGCATGTAGTTTAGACGTACCCTTAGTGATGCTTCCCTTATATGATAGTCTGAAGCCTGAACTACACATTTCCTCACATCCTATGTCAAGGACAGACAAAACAAGGTGATTTTCACAGAACATATTGGGCCCTCCCATTCTTGGACTCTAAATTGTTATTGCTGTCAGCCTCGCTTCCTTTTTGTTTTTCCCTGGTATGAGATCTCTTGACTCAGAATGAGTGGCAGATTCATCACCCTTCAGTCCAACCACATTGCACCTGAGGTAATAATATTGGGATGGATGTTAAAGCTAGAGATGGGCAGCTTAACAGATGCATTGGGAAAACTGATCAGCAACAGAATGGACTCTACCAAGAGATGCTACTTTGCAAAGTGGAAGAGATTCGAGATCTGTTGTGATCATCAAAGAATTTGCCCTTTTTGTAGTTGGATGCCAGATATGCTGGACTACCTGTTATCCCTGAATTAAGTGGGACTGCCTCTCCGCTCCCTCAGGGTTCCCATGATACATTTGGTTTGCTTGCAGGCACTTACTTCATGTTTTCATGCCTAGTCACATTCTTGTTCCTGGAGGGATTATTTAGTGTCCTCCCTCCAGTGGCAAAAACCCACACCTGCCTGGAGCTTTGTTTTGTCAACTCTGATGGGAGGAAAGGAGGGAGGCTAT